ATTAGACAGTCTTTAATAATTATAATCTTTTTTGACAAATATATTTTAAGAAGTAAAAGAAATCATTAAATATAAACAAATTTACATAAAACATATGTCAATGTCACTTTAACACATTTGCAATATATATAATGCATTGCACATGTAGTTATTGTTTGTATAATATGAAATCAGTTGTTGTGCTTTAAACTTGTTTACTGGTACTTAATTAAAGGTTTTTTAAAACTAATGTTTCCTCTTCTCGTAAAAATTTACTGAACTCGAAGTTTTGGTAAACCAGGTTTTTTCTGATTGATAAAATATTTTTTTGACACATCTTCAGAATCATTTGTACTTTGTATGATATAATTTGTTAACTTAAAGGAGAAGTTCGCTAATACAATGATTTAGAATAGGTGACAGTATTGATTTAGAATGGCAAAGCTCAAATTACTATTATTTCGGAAAAATTAGACCACGTAGGGTTGTTAATCGTTTTTGAAAACGATCGTTAAACGATTGTTTTTTTCGTTTTTATAAAAACGATTTGCGACCGTTTTTTAAACAATTGTTTTTAAAAACACAATAGCTTTTGAAAAACTATCATTTTTGAAAAAAAGAATTTATTGACAATCATGTTAATGATCGTTAACGAAGGGTCGTCGTTAACGATCGTTAACGAAGGGTTGTCAATAACGATCGTTAATGAAACGACGAAATTCATAAAAATCCGGTCGTTTTTGGAAAAACGATAGTTTTTGAAAAAATGACATGCAACTTTATTGAATGTCGTCTTACATGAAGTTAAACAGTTGTGGGGGAGCTAAAACTTCTTGATATTTTCTTAAAAACTACTCAATGATGAGTAAAGATGCCCTTCAGGTCGGTTTCCTCTCTTTGTTAAAGATCGTTAACAAAGGATCCTAATTAACGATCGTTAACGAAGGGTCGTGGTTAACGACCCTTCGTTAATGAGACGACGAGTTTTATAAAAACGATCGTTTTTAAAATCACGTACCTGAACTTGAAACAACAACTCATGCACAAGATCACTTACCTGAACTTGAAACAACAACTAATGCACGAGATCACTTACCTGAACTTGAAACAACAACTCATGCACGAGATCACTTACCTGAACTTGAAACAACAACTCATGCACGAGATCACTTACCTGAACTTGAAACAACAAATCACGCACAAGATCACTTACCTGAACTTGAAACAACAACTAATGCACGAGATCACTTACCTGAACTTAAAATAACAACTCATGCACGAGATCACTTACCTGAACTTGAAACAACAACTCATGCACAAGATCACTTACCTGAACTTGAAACATGAACTCATGCACGAGATCACTTACCTGAACTTGAAACAACAACTCATGCACGAGATCACTTACCTGAACTTGAAACAACAACTCATGCTCGAGATCATTTAAATTTATAATGGTTGTACCAAGGTGGTTGTTCGGGGGGGGGGGGATGGCTTAAACCGAACAAATCCATGTCTCACCTTTGCTTTCTTATTTTAGTTTAATTGTTTTATAATCGTTCTCAGTGAACATATATTTGTTTTAAAATAAACTTAAACAATAAAATATTTTACAAGATAGATTCAGTTTCATCTATAATTGTATTTAATTCAGTCTATTAAATGTATGCATAGTTAAACTTTATCAACGTGATACCTAAAGCAATAAATGCAAATCATGACAATGATAGTATTACTTCTCATGTTTGAGGTCTAATATTATAGAAAGGGGGATAATTTTATTTGTTGTGAATTTTTACTTGATTAGAAAATGTTTGTTTTATATTTGCCTGTTTTCTCATACAATTTAAAACACTATTTACAGAATAACTTTTTTGTAACCGTTTGTTGCTTTTTCTGCATTTGTTTGCGTACTCTAATTCAATGGAATTCCGTTCACAAAGCACAGTTTCTGCAAAAATTGTCTTGTAATAAAGCTCAATAAATTCATAATTTTCTCTCAACAATTGCTCTATTCCCTTGCTCCATGTGTTAAAAAGGCTACTTTTCTGTATATCAGACTAGTGGATTTATACTGTATGACGTAGGCTTGAATTGTATGGCAAACCTGAAAGGTTCGTCTGTATAGCGGAGGTTCATTGCTGCTGGGGGTTCCCTCTCTCTGTCAGTCTGTGAAAGAAAAGATGTGCGAAATATCTATACAATTATTTGTCCTACAATCATTTGTCCTACAATCATTTGTCGTACAAATTATTAGTCATTTGTCCTACAATTATTTGTCCTACACATCATTTGTCCTACAAATAATTTTTCTACACATCACATGTCATACAGAGAGTAGATAACATCATTTGTTATCCACTTCATTTGTCCTACACTTCAATTGTCCTACAATCATTTGTCCTACAAATCATTTGTCCTACACATCATTTGTCCTACAAATCATTTTCTACTCATCAATTGTCCTACAGAGAGAGAGAGAGAACCATCTTTTGTACTATAATTCACTTGCACTCTACATTAGTTGGCTTACATAAAGGGGTAACTTGTCCTACAATTGATAACATCATTTGTTCTATAGTAATGTACAAAAAGATGAATTTAATTTCTTTGTATATGTTAAATAATATCTCATCTTATTTTGTGTTGGTCGTGGTAAAGACAATTTACGGGCGATCGCTGCGGCTAGGATGGGCTAGGGGGCCGAGTGCTGCGGCATCTTGAATGTTAAAGAATATGTTGTCTCTCATATTACTTTGGGTTAGGTCTGTTTAAGACAATTTCTGGGCCGAGCGCTGCAGCTAGGATGGGCTAGGGGGACGAGTGCTGCGACCTCTTAAATGTTAAATAACATGTTGTCTCTCACCTTATTTTGGGTTAGGTTAGGTTAAGACAATTTATTGACCGAGTGCTGCGGCTTGGATGGGCTAGGGGGCCGAGCACTGCAGCCTCTTAAATGTTAAATAATATGTTGTATCATTCCTTATTTTGGGTTATAGGGTTGGTTAAGACAATTACTAGGCCGAGCAGCTCTGCGGCTAGGATGGGCTAGGGGGCCGAGTGCTGAAGCCTCTTAAATGTTAAATAACATGCTGTATCTTATCTCACCTTATTTTGGGTTAGAGCTGTTTAAGACAATTACTTGGCCGAGCTCTGCGGCTAGGATGGGTTATGGGGGCCGAGCGCTGCGGCATCTTAAAATTTAAAAATTTGCCTGTTTGTTACACATTTTGTCGATCGTTTATCTTTAATACATATATTCACTTGATGTGTAGGACAAATGATGTTTCCCTCTATCGGTAGGACAAATGATTTGTAGCACAAGTGATGTGTATGATAGGACAAATGAATTTAGGACAAATGATTGTAGGACAAATAACATAGTACCGATTCAAAACATTCTTAATAGTTCATAATTAAACAATTCAGGCAGATCTTAACCCTATCCCTGCTGGGGTACCTGAAAACCAGGATATGCTGGGGGGGGGGTCAATTTGAACCCCCCCCCCCCTAAATCCCATGTTTTATGTCCAAATATGACAAATAATACATCATTAGAAAGCTCTTGTGCTCTACTTTTGAATCTGCAAAAAAAATTGCAAATTTGCAAAAATTTAATTTTTTATCGCAAAATCCATTTATATAGTGAAAATGTTTGCAAAAAAAATTTGTCCAAAAAATGAAAAATTTTACATTTTTTAAAAGCCCTTGACCATGCCATTTCAAATATGCAAAAAATTTTGCAAAATTTTAAATAACCTGATTTTTAATCAAGAAAACTAAAAATGTGCAAATTTCCTTTGACAGGTTGTTTGCAAAAAATCTGCCATTTTTTTCCTAAAACTTGTACAATTCGTTTCCTTATGTCATAGGCTTTCCAAAAAGCTAAATTTTATCAAAATCTGACAAGTGAAAGTGGGTCAAAACAAAGATTTAGTTTGTTACAGGCAAAAGCAGTCATTCAGGCAGTGTGCCTGAGACTCAGGCAGTTAGTATTAAAGCCCGGTTTTAGGCCTAAAGGGAGGGCTTTGGGTATTAAGAAAAGTCAGAAAATTTCAACAGCCTCAGACCAATACTTTTTGAGTTATGTAAAAAAACTACAGGGGGGGGGGTCAAATTGACCCCCCCTCCCCAGCAGGAATAGGGTTAACTTGATTTTGAAGAAATTCTGATTCACTCCAAATGAAATGCAGCCTCGTCGTCAGAAAGTAAATCCTTGGATTTTATAATTTTTCTATAAATTCTTTACATTTTCATGATATGAAGATAAATTTATAAAACTTTCTTTATTGAACCCTGAACGCTGTTATTTACAAACATTACTAATTGGATAAAAACAAAATATATTCATTTTGCCAGTATTTAAATTACTTTTTTCAGTGAACAATGCTGATTCTATTACTGCATTTCACCCTGATATATTCAGTTCCAGTACCAAAAGACAAGTATCAAAATTAATAAAAATAAAATATATTAAAATCTGGTGGTTGAGGGGTTGGGAAGGCAACCTGCTTAAAAACAGAAAAAAATTAGGGCCTCTTGTTTAAATGAACAAACAAGTTCAAATGAATGTTAGTTCAATCGATCATTAGTTCTTTAGATATGACAGCATACTATAAACTTGATTGAAATTAACCTTCAACTGTAATGAACAAAACCGCATTTACCCCTCATAAATAACTATATGAATTAGTAAAACTTATGGTTAATGAGAACACATATTAAAATGTCTGCCATATAACAGATATTGAGCTGGTTGACTGCCTGCAGTCGTAGATCTTGTGCAGAACTGCATCCTCCATGCCCCGGCGCATGGTAGATTCCCCTGTATCTCAGTCATTCAATTCAACCCTAACAATCATTGCATCATGTTTGGCTTTCACTCTAACGGAACTTTCAGTAAGCATCCCAGGCTATTTTTAGATTCTACATACAACACAACATGTTCCCCTAGTTCATAATTATTAAACAGGGGTGTTTATTTCAACAATCCTTATTTACACATCTTTGACAATAATCATTTATTCGTAGATGCCATAATACGGTTCCAAAGCTCATTGATTTAGCATCATGCTGCCAATCCACTTTTTTGGCGTTATTAGACAGTCTGAAGATTTAACTGGGTTGCCTCTTGTGGGTTCCTTAGCTAGTCCCTCTGACATAGGTGGTCACTGTAAAATAAGTCGGGAGGATAAACTGTCGCAGGGATATTACCTGTCACAGGGGGGATGAGCTTATGCACCATTAAATGACATTCCATTATCTTTGAAAGGCCTTTCATACTGATATTAATCAGTCAAAAATTTGTAGTTATTAACAGAAAATCATCTGGTGATTCCTATCACAAACGTTTAATTTTAAAAAACCCTTTTTATGAACATGGATTTTAATTATAATTTTCTTTTATTTATGCAAGTTAATCTAAAATATTATAAATAACTATTGTAAATTAATTCTATTGTATTATCATTCTAATATCATATTGATTTTAGCAAATATTACATGGCACTGAAGAAGGGTGGCTACGTTGTTCAATTTGAGGAAGATTCAAAAACTAATCCATTGCTGCCAAGAAATGGTAACTATGAAGCTGAAACAACTCAACCAGTACATGAAAACCTAGCTCCTCCTGCTAAAACTGAACATGGAAAATCACATAGGTCGTATGCAAAACATGGTTCTAATAAAGAACCAAGAACACTTCCCTCCCTGCAATATAATAGTCCTGCCACAAAAAGCGCAGAAACTACTACAGCTTCAATAACAACTAGTACTGAGGAATCAACAGAAAGCACGGATAAACTTGATGATGTAACTACACAATCTCCTTCTGATGTAATAACAACTCTCTCAAGCAATGATAATTTAACTACGCCTGAATCTCTTGAAAGAGAAAGTCTTAACGATACAAAAACTTCCACTCAAACTACTCTTGATGAAGAAACAACAACCCATCATGAAACTAAAACTGCTACATCGCTTGATGATGAAACTAAAACACAGTTATCATCTGCAGATGAATCTACAACACAAACTTCACTTGTAGAGAAAACTTCACCAGAGTCTTCTCTTGCAGATGAAACTACAACAACAGCTTCACTTGAGGAAGAAAAAACAAATCAAACATCTTATGAGGATAAAACTACAACCAAAGCTTCTCAGGAAGAAACAACATCACAAACATCTGTTGATAAAGAACCAGGCACCCAATCTTCTGACAAATATGAAACTACGGCAAAAACTTCTCTTGAAAAAGAAAATGCCACCAAGTCAACTACAGATGAAGAAGGTGACCAAAAAGCCAAAGTAGAGTACTCAATGGTAGGATCAAGTAATCTTATTTTAAATATTGAAATTATAATTTACATTCTGTTTAGAGCTCACTTACTGTTGATTACAAACATGATTGTGTTGGAGTAAAATGTGACTGTGATAGCACTGGAAAGAATCAAGATGTGAGTAAAAAAAATTCAACCAAAAGGATAATTTCTAACAACCCTTGTCATATCTATTTTAGGACGAATTTATTAATCCTTAACAAAATTGTCAATCGAGATTAATTAGATCAGATTTCATTCTTTCCTGTTTTCAAAAGAAATTTTCTTTTGTTGCAAAGCAAATGAATCACAGAAAACTATCAAATATTAGAAATATTTTAGCAAGTCAATGGCTAGTGTTCTGCCTTTGATAATTGTTGATAAAAAACCTCTGTTTAAAAGTTAGTCTTTCACATTATCTCCATAATTCATTTCATTTGCACTTTGTTTTGCTTATAATTGTCAGTAAGCGATAGCTCAACCTTTTATTGCAGGAGATCCTACGTCAGATATTTTATAACTCCAGTGTTGAAGCCCTATCAATTTTTCGACTTTGCTGGTTTTGTCGATCAGACTTCCATATAATTTTTAATATACATATGTACGCTGTTGAAACTATGTTAGAGCTCTGTCATTTGATGTTAGAGGGTGGTGCACTGTGATCTTGCCAGGCTACATGTGTTGGGTCGACTCTAGACTATACAGTCAAGACTTGACAGTACGAGTGAAAACATACACAGTACATGGTTCAAACCGGTTCAGAGCTGAAAACTTTTGAATGGGATATCCTTAATCCTGATCGGATAATTAATCTGGAGATTAAAAATGAGAGGAGAACAAGCAATATTTAATCTCGAGATTAAGAAAAAGAGTGGATTAAGCATTAATCCCGATATCCACTGTTCAAAAGTTTCCAGCTCAGATCATGTAACTTTTAGAGTGAGTGGGCACAGAGTGACAGTACTTTAATTCATATTTGACACTTATTTATTTGTTTGTATTTTAGGTTGGTGCTTGTTGTAACTGTACAGAGACAGGTATATTAAGATTTAGTGAGAAGAAAAAAAAGATGAATTATAGACAGAATGCCACAAACACAATAGTTGAAAACAGGATTTTAAAGTTACGTCTACAACTAAGCTAAGCTGACTTAAAATGGCAACCAGGAAATCATTTAGAAAAGCTTTGGACAATCTCAGCAATTTGGTAAAAAAAGATTTGAATATTCAATACTTCATTGAGCACTTAAATACCATAAAACATTGTAAAACAAACATTTGGAAACTGTGACTATATTATAGGTGTGACATATTGACAAAAAAAAACTCTGCGAAACTATTATCCTATATTAATTCCACCTGCAGTGATAACCAGAAAACTCTGAAATATGAAGACCTTTATAGCAATACTTAAGTGTATTTTATATTGTTACGAAGCAAATTGACTCTACAGACACTAATTAAATCACTTGTTAAGTAAATTGGTCTTTTTACACTGCAATAATGCTGTGTCCCAGGCTCATTAAACTATTTAAATTCAAAATTTAGTCTTGGTTTTATCAAAATATGGAACAGTTTTTCCCTCAGGGAAAATATAAGGAAAAACCGACCAAAAACCATTTTTTTGTTCATCTATATATAAATTTGGCTTGTCTGGGTGTCTGTTTGTTTGTTTGTATCCAATAAACGTAAAAACGGCTGAACCGATCGGGCCCAAATTTTTTGGGGTACATCACGTGACCACAGGGAAGGTTTATGAATGATAGAAATTTTAAAAAATGTGTTTTAAAGGTTTTTAATTTTGTAAAATAATTTAAATTCTTGAAAATCCGCGTTTTTTTAAAATCCGCAAAAAAATTTTCTTCTTTGTTTTAAAATGTAAACAAAAAGAACATGTTCACAATTTAAAGAGAAGATGGGCGCGAAGCGCCCTAAAAGCCTAGTATTACAAAATACCATATATCTGGTTTATTTTGGGGGTATTAAAATATAAAACATCTTGATCCATGTGTATTGTTTATGACTAGGAACCAAATTTTCAAATTGAAAAATGCTCCAGCTGTATTCAAAACATAAATTCTAGATTACAATCTAAATACAAATTTCCCTTGCTTAAACTGAATTGTTTTTGATTAGAAATGTGTATTCAAAATTGTTCAAATTTATTCATTTGCTCAAAGAACATTATCTTTCAGGGAATACCTCAAAAACCCCGAGCAGTGATGGAGAAAGTAAGACTAAAGATTCCGAAAATAATACTGACAAAATTGAGAACGACGAAGGAAATAAAACTAAAGATTCTGAAAGTGAAACTGAAGAAAATGAGAACGAAGAAGAAAGTTTGACTGAGGATTCTGAAAAATCAAATTCAAAAAGTGAAGCAGTCAAAAATGAGGATGTTGAAGAAAATAAGACAAAAGATTCTGAAAGTGAAACCAAAGAAAATGGAGATGAGGAAAAAGGTTCGACTGAAGATTATGAAAGTAAAACTGAAGAAAATGATAACGGGGAAGAAAATGAGAAGACAGATTCTGAAAATTCAAATACTGAAAGTGAAACGGAGGAAGGTTCAACTGAAGATTCTAAGAAATCAAATTCAAAAAATAGTTCTGACAAAAATAAGGATGATGAAGAAATTAAGAAAGAACATAATTCAGAAGATTATATTGACAATGGTGAAGACAAAAAAGATGATACTGAAAATGTTGAATCTAAGAAATCAGATAAAAAAGATGAAAAGAAAAACAAAGATAAAGATAAAACTGTAGATACTAAATCTAAGAAATCAGATAAGAAAGATAAAAAGAAAAACGAAGACAAAGACAAAACTGATTCAGAAAAGAATGGAAATGAGGATTCAAAATCAGATAAAACGAAAGATGGTGATGATAAGGATAATAATGATGATGAAAAAATTGCCACTCTGAAGGATATTGCAAATACAGTAAAAGAATTAGTGAAAATTGCTGCTGATGCAATGTAAATTATAGATTACTAATTATACAGCAGTATATGGTAAAACTAATTTATGCCTTACTTCTTAATTAGAATTATTTATAATGAATATGAATAATTCAAATAAAATAAAATCAATTATCTATGCAAAACAATCGTGTACATAAATCTGATAGAAAAGCGGAAAAATATACATCTATATATGTGAGTGAGTATACATGTAGAGGCCGGGTGGGTAGTTACAGTCACAGTAAACTGGAGGTCCTCTTCAAAAGTCCAATGAGTCTTAACTTTCAGGTTTGATATGTATTTTAAAAATATAAGTATATAAGCCTCTTTTGCTATTTTTGACAGACGTTTAATTTAGTAAAGTGATACCTTCTGAGAAAGCTGTAATCCGCTATTTTTGTCTGCTATGTTCGCAATTTTTTGTTTATGTTTTGACTACAGTCTTCACTGTTAATCTTGAAGAGACATTATCGACACATCTTTACAACCATTCCTTTATCATAAAATAAACTCTAGCAGACATAATATTATAAAGGCTTTCGAAATCAGGTATTGCCATGCTAATTCTTAACAAAGACGATCTAGAATGCCACCCCTGCAGACCCATCTGTTTTTGAATTTATATAAAAAATACCAATTAATTAAATTTGTAATGGTTTACATTTATGTGGTTATGTTCCCCAAATAACTCACTTATTCGCTAAATTGTTTATTAAATGTTTCTGCAGAGTTTGCCCTATTTTGCTCAAAATCCTCCACATAAATATAAAAATAATGGCCTTTAAGGCTAAAACTAGAAATATTGATTTTGATCGTTACCTTGCATTCAAAAATCAAAAATAAATATTTTCTGGCAAAATGTGAATTAACCAATATTTGGTAAAGTAACGACATACAATGATCAGATGCTTTTTACATTTCGATTTATTCTAAAATTTGAGTTTTAAAGAACTTTATAGTTTTGCATGCTGTATCTGACCATAGAGAAGCTGAAATGTGCCTTTTGGCTTTTGCGCATAAAAGTCTAAGCACACATACAGCTACATAAGTAATATAACCTACAAATCAAGCCAATCTTTATATTTTTGGATTTTCCTTCTTGTAACTTGTAAGATTTATTTATCAGTACGAATTTACTGATAATTGGGCAAGTAACAAAAAACAATTATCGGACATTTTTGCACAATTTGATAAATAAAGACAAAACTAATATTTGAATTTTAAAAATATTTGAAGTTAAAAAAAAGTTTTCTCATTTTTATATTCTACGATTAAGGTCAAATGATTTGAAACCGAAAATTTCAACATATTTGTTTACAAATTATACCTGAAGTTACAAACAAAATTGTTACTAATTGATTCAGCTTGTATGCTCAGTGTTTGTTTTTTGCTTCTACATCAGAGAGAGATTATGTGGATTTTAGTTCTCTGTTTAACTATTGTTTCATCTTCACCATCATCCAGACAGTAAAAATAATTTTTTTGTGTTTTTTTTTCGAACAAAATTTTCAAATCCTGTCGAAACCATTTATTATACTTCATTGAAAGAGTTACATGCTCGATTCACATTAGTACCCTTTAAACCTTCATTGCAGAGTTAAAAGGAGAAAGACATGTTATATTAGACGAGATGTAATAAATCTTATGTCAATTTGATGTTGGTTTAAGGCAAATAGTTTTATTAGTACCAATTGCTGTTTTGATGCTCCCAATTTGAGAATAACAGTCGTCTTTATATTCTATGTTTTATGTCTCCGACTAAATCCTGACAATAGATCAATTCTGTCCGTGTCCTTCCTTGTCTCTAATGCATAATTAAGTTAGAGATGAAAAAAATATATCTATATTATATAATACTATTTTAAAGGAAACCTTAGTACATCTTGAATGTAACTCTTTAAATGACGTCGATCTGTCTCTTTATAACGATTATTGTTTCTTCATTAAGGCTTTCGTGTAATCAATCATGTGTTTGAAAAATGTATTATTTACTTTATATTTTTACAAAATTATAAGTTTTCTAGTAAACGAAATTCCTTTGTAAATCAATCTCATGTAATTATCATTACGTGAATTAAAATGATTATTAATTCTAAAACTTTTTAAGTAAATTGATTGAAACTGAAAATGGTCATTTTCTGATAAAACTGAAGGATAAGACAACACCGTTAACTAAACTTACCTCAGCAACGGGAACAAAATCGACAGAGGTGATAAATACAAATATATTGGTTTAAACTTCTTTTTATGTTTATTTTTGAGAGTAGTTTAGTGGAATTGTGGGTAGCGATTATGGAATTGCTTGTGAATCCATGAAGTGTGATTGCAGTGGCTCGAGAAGGAAACGAGATGTAAGAACAATTTTTAAATTTCGTTTTTCATTTACTCAGCATATTTTCATACTGACATCTAATAACCCCTCCCTCCCTTAAAAAAGGATTTGATTCGAAAAGAAATAATTGATATTAAAGCTTTTCTTATTTTAAGGTATCAGCATGCTGTAACTGCGATAACTATGGTAATTCCTGGATATATTCTTATATTTGTTCAATTATATTCAAAAAGTCTATTTTTTAGAGTTAAGACACAGTAAAAGAACTGAACACTTGCCTCAAACTTTAATTTTCTAATCTTTAGATATTTGCAAACTGGTATCATTTTCATATAAAAATTTAATCTAAAAATTTGGGGATAAGGAAATAAGAGATTGAGACAAATGTTCAGTTCCTTAGCAATGTAAAAAAAAAAACCTAAGAAGATGATTAAAAAGTTTTTATTCAAAACAAGTTTACTTCTAAACAAGTGCGGTGCGCACGATAAGTCAAATGTAGGGTTTTAAGATAAATTTAACTGTACAAAAAATCTAACCTTTCAGGGTTCTTCCGGGTACCTAAGGTAAAATATTTACGAAGAGAACGAAATATTTGGTGTACATACTAAAAAGATAATTGAGTATCTTAGTTTTGCCCCTTTAAAAGTTCTAATCTAATAATTCCGTATTCCCTTTCTTTAACAATTGCTCTTAAAAATACCATTTAAAGGTCATAAACTGAACAATTAAAACATAAGGTCCAAATATTTCGTTCTCTTAACATGAATCTGTTACTTAAGGTACCTGGGAGAACACTGAAAGGTTAGATTTTTTTTGTACAATTAAATTTATCTTAAAAACCTACATTTGACTAGTGTGTGGTGCGTGTTCAAAAATGATTTTTTTTACTTTTTTTCCGATATTTGTCATTGTCTTCTTTGAGTGGTTACTTTAACATTATACACATATTTAAGAAGAACTCCTATTTAGGTTTCAAAAATCAATAATAATATTTTTTTTTATAAATATTTAGAAGAGGAAGATGAGGATGAGGTTGAGGATGGAAAAGACCTTGTAGTAAGTTAACATTTGCTGGGTGTGTGTGTAAAAATACTTCTAGTTGATGCCGGCAAAGCCTCAATTTTAAAAAGATTTTCGTTTTTTCATCGAGAAACACTTTTTAGTAAAGTTTTTAGGTCAAATTAAAGCCTTTTATTCATTGAAGCTAATTATATGTATGTTACCTAATTCCTTGGAAATATAACCGATTTTGGTGTCATGGACATTTAAAATATGTGCCTGATTAAAGGGGCTGCAAGCGCAATTAGAAGCGACCCTCCATGCAAATATGGCAATGTCTGATTCACAACAATACTCTTCAAAGTTTTGTTTAATAAAGTTTGAATTATATAACAATTTTCATAATATTAAAAACTGATTATTTTCAATTGTGGTTTCTTTGCAAAAGTGATTTGCGCATTGTACCTCAGGAAAACATAAAGGAACACTTTTAAACAGAAACAGACGACCATAGCTTCTTCACTTTGGACCAGATAAAGACGACCATACCTTCTACATTATGGACCAGATAAAGACGACCATAGTTTCTACATTATGGACCAGATAAAGACGACAATAGCTTCTACATTATGGACCATATAAAGACGACCATATCTTCTACATTTTGAACCAGATAAAGACGACCATATCTTCTACATTATGGACCAGATAAAGACGACAATAGCTTCTACATTATGGACCATATAAAGACGACCATATCTTCTACATTTTGAACCAGATAAAGACGACCATATCTTCTACATTATGGACTAGATAAAGACGACCATATTTTCTACATTATGGATCAGATAAAGACGACCATATATTCTACATTATTGACCTGATAAAGACGACCATATCTACATTTTGGACTAGATAAAGACCACCATACCTTCTACATTATGGACCAGATAAAGACGACAATATATTCTACATTATTGACCAGATAAAGACGACCATAGCTTCTACATTATGGACCAGATAAATACGACCATTTCTTCTAATTGATAATTTCCTAGAGCAATAAAATAACACCAGGTTCTGATGAAGATGATGAAGAAGATGTTGAATACGAAGTGGAATACGTTGTGGAAGGAATAGATGATAGTGTGGATGAAAATGAAGAAGCTGAAGATGTTGAAGAAAATGATGATGATGAAGAAGATGAATATGATGATGATGATGACGATGAAGGTATACGCAAATAATTTTTATGTTAAAATTGTGTTTAAAATTTGTCCAAATCATCTGCGATTTTTCTTCCAGTATAAAAATTGACCCATATTTTTAAAATATTTTTGGGTTACATATCAGTACAGTATTATAAGGTATCTAATCTCAATTATTGAATTTATGAACCTAAAACGACATCTATTTACTGTTAGAAAAAGACATCAAAATCGAATTACCGAAACTATTTCATATTTATTAACATGTTGATCAAAATTATGACCAGAATTTTAGGGTCATCCCGCACAATTATGCATATCTAACATCCTCATCATAATTTAAGAAGAAGGTAAATAACTTAAATAAAAATATATTTATATTGACTATCTATATTTCTAGTGATAACTTTAGCTTTAAAGGGACTGTTCGCGTAATTTCATGTGCCTCTACAAGCAAAGATGACAATGTTCGATTCAAAATGGTGACTGAAAACTTATCTAGTCAAATGTGGGAGATGTTGTCGTTTTTCTAGGTTCATAAGTATCTAATTCAGATAATACGATATGTCTTGTTGCCATAGCAATGCGCAAGTCACTTTTGTAGAAAAACCACAATTAAAAATAATCTGTTTTCAAAATGATATACATTGATATCTATTCATACTTTATCAAATAAATGCTGTTAAGGGTACGGTAGTGAATAGGGCACTTACATCTTTGCATGGAGGTTCACTTAAAATTACGCTCACAGTCCCTTTAGAAAATGCTTGAACTACTCGTATTTTTTCTTCATTGACAATAAAACGAATCACTAAGAATATCTGATTTTATTTTTAAAAATATTTTAAATTCAAAATTGTTAAAGACCCAATTTTAATTTTTTAATAAACCACCAATTTGTGTTAATTTAATTCCTAAAAATAATATTGGATAAAAGATATAACAAACCGTCAGGCTACAGGCAAAATAATTAGATATCATACAACTACTGTGTTAATCATGGGTCGGTAATTTGGGTGAATAAAATGGTTAAAGCTATATTCAAATAATAAACTTCATTATCTAGAATGGTCGAATTGCGCACTTTTCTATTTATTTTAATTTAAAACCAAACATACTTTTTTCAGGATAAATGCTGGATACGGAATCGAACCCAAGAAAAAATACTGTTTTGAGATGAGAAATAAATTCTTTTTAATTTTAACTCATATTATTTCTGTAACTGAGAGTTTCAATTGCAAAATATGTGATTTGAATATCAAGAGTTCATCTCAGGTATTTTAGTCTTTAATTGATCATGCTTTGTCAGAACATTTGTTTTGTGAAGCATTTTTCCTTTTCGATATCCCGCAGGAATTACTTGATTTGAGTGATCACGCATTTATCCTCAATTTTAAATGTATCCGCAATGAATATCGAGACCAATCGTTTAAGATTGACGATACTTCACTCAAAACTTCCGATATTTTTCTACAAAATGTCAACTTTAACAAAATAATAACGTGAGAGAATAATTTTTTGAGACAGTTACACTTAAAGGCATGCTGCGTTTGGGAACTTATCTAGATTTTCAGACATTTACTCAAATTCTAATCAATGTCAATTTTCAAGCATTATATTCACTAACTTACGTAACAAAATAAAAAAAGACATTAAGAAAATATAATATTATTTTATTATCCTAATTATTTAAGGTTTTCACATTTTTGTTTACAAATATATTTTCCCTAATTACAGAGATTAATAGTTTAGTGTTTTGTATATTTTTCCGGTGTAGCATTATGCTAATACTAGTTCTATGTTTAAGTTTAGCATATTCATCACCAATATCAGAAAAGTAATGTATAATCTTTTATAAATAAGGGACTGTTGACTTAACTTGCTAAACACATTTATCTGAGCATTACTGGAGAAGATATCGTCGTGGTTTATCCTGAAAAGTGTTGAATTCTCACAATTTCCTTTTTTTCCTTTCTGCACGAATCCGCCAATTACTTTCATAGAGAAAACAACAAGATTAAATTAGAAATGCTCTGATAGAGAAACAATAATATCTTTCTAATGTTTGCTCAGAGACGTATAGGTTAGAATAATAGCATTGTGAATCGGGTATGTCCCTGGAAATAAATTACCAAAGACAATTATTTGTTAATATTTAGACATAACTCGATTTTGAAAGAGAAAAACATGAATATTTCATTTGTTGTTGATCAGACTAAGCTGTGAAGGGTACCGTTTAAAATCGGACATTCCCTTCTTTATATGGAGAGTCATTTGAATTTATATCTACAGTCTCTTTAATGAGCATTGAATCGTCACTTTTGGATTACATTCCCCTTTCAATTTTATACTTTCTTGGTTAGAAATGTATCATATTTAAGGTTCTATACGCTTTACTTGAAGGTTTTTCATTGAAAGGTCATATCTAAGCTATATAAGTTTGTAACAAATTCAAGAAAACACGAAGACGATTACTACTGTGTAGCGAAGTTGACCGCGCAAGATT